TACAGGGGGAGCCGCGCACTCGTGCACTGCGGGTCATACAACGTATGACAACCCTAACCCTAACCATAAACCCGAACCTTGTAGCGCGATGCACTACTGGGTCGCGCGCGCATCAAATAATGCTTCTCGCAACCACTTCGGTAGATCGGCGAGATGCACCATTGTGCCTCACCGAGCTGCGAAGGATTGACATCGTGAATCAAACCCGAACCTATCCATAACCATAAGCTACCATAACCCTTACCACAACCGGCCCTAACCCTAACCCGAGCCTTAAACAATTTGTAGGTGATGGACAGATATTTTACGAGTATCACCCGTTAAATAAACAATTGAATTCATTTTTACTAGCCTTCTCTGTTCTCGCAACCACGGTAGATCGGCGAAATTAAATTTACCACTTAACTGGGCCTTGCCGAGCTGCGAAGGATTGACATCGGGAATCAAGTAGATCTACCAAAGGTGGCTACGAGAAGAATTATTTGATGCGCACGTCGCGGTCCAGTAGTGCATCGCGCTACAAGACTCGTCGACGGTCTAATATTTGAAACAAATATTTTACGAGTATCACGACTAGCAATAGACTATCTTGCTAGTCTTGCTAGCTTAGATAGAGCTTATTCAGAGTGAAAAGTATAAATTTATATTTGCATCCTAATCTTGCACTGTCTACAGCTAACAAAAATCCTTCATGTGTATGTGGAAAACAAAATCATATCAACCATGAGGGTTGAAAAGTAGTAAAAATAGCAGAATTAGACATAAATTTGGAGCCAGTTCTTTAAACTGGTTTAATTATACTACGTAAAGGGTGTTTATAAATTTTATTTAGTTTTCTATTGAATGCAAAATCGGAGCCTAAGTTTCACTTAGACACAATTCACCCAGAGATACGATAGCTGAACTCTAACCACACTTAAACTATCTAATGGAACAAATAGACAGGATGGTGCAAGATCGTTCTGATCGCTGCTGGACAGCGCTCCTACTAAATCGCTCGCCCAAATTTTAAGAAAATTCTTGTGAAAAGGCCCTTTGGGCATGAAAGTGATCGGAAGCGGTGTATTTTTGGACGCTGATTCCGAATCACTCCCATGACATAGGGTTAAAATGCTTCCCTGGAGAGTTGTGGGCAAAAAACCGTTTTGGTCACGTGACAGGCTAGTAAAATACGAATTCGATTGTTTAGGACTCGTGTTAGGGTTAGGGTTGTGGTAAGGGTTATGGTTAGCTTCGGGGTTATGGTTAGGGTTAGGGTTGGGATAAGGGTTTATGTAAAACCGTTTTGTACGGCTGCAAAACCATAAAAACCAAAGTCACATGAAATTTTTGGGCGAGCGAATTAGTAAGAGCCGCTGGACAGGGCATTCACAGGTGTAGGGGTACTTCACTCTCAAGCTCAGTTGATCCAACAGTGACAAGAGCATCTTGCAGATTTACCAATCTCACGATAAAAACAAAAAACGGAGTACAACGGAGACCTCAATGCAGAAAAGGCTACTTTCACGCCACTGGTGTTCAGTACTACACAGGAGGAATGGCGTTTGAGGCTTCACAGTTCCTAAAACATCTCGTGGAAATATCAGACTTAAGAAAGGCCAACGGTACTGTGATGTGATGTCATTTGTCAGACTGTGTTTTGATTTACTCAGAACTTGTATAATCTTTATCAGGGGTTACAGAGGTGCCACATTTTAAGATTTCTTTACTGAAGATTCCTGAAAATATGGTGAGGGGTTCTTGAAACATATAAATGATACAACAGTTTGTAGTAACAGAAGCTTTCGAAAAAAATGTGCTGTTCGTCTTCAGCTTCGAGGAATCAAATGTTTTGACAATTTTTTGCTAGAAGACCCTGAATGGCTTGACTTCCAGGCAGTGGCGTAACGTTGCCTGTTGGCACCCCCCCCCCCCCCCCCCCCCCCCCGCCGAAAAAGCGCCCCTTCCCTTTTGGTGCCACTCCCTAAAATTGAACAAATTGGGTGATTTTAGAGGATACGCCGGTAAAATCTCTAAAAAAGTGTGTTTCTAGAGCAAAACGCGCAGTTTTGCTAGTACTTTAGTTAAGTTTTTGAAATTGTCCCACATTCAAACGACGATTTGGCGCCCCCCTAAGACGCCCCCAACCCCCCCCCCCCCCCCCCCCCCCCCGCACAGCAGGGGTCAGCGGGGCCCTTCGTTACGCCACTGCTTCCAGGTGGAAAGGAAGGTTCCTAGTTTCTGGTGGGAAGAGAAGTTTCAAGTAGGGAGGATGCTTCCTGGTTATTATTAAGCTTTAAAAACTAAATTTCGTTGTGAACTTCCTTTGGTAGTAAAACTTTCCAGTTGGAAGGAAGCTTCCTAGAGGAAGGACAGTGTATACTCTGTGATACTTACTAAGTTATGTCACTCCTATGTTTTATATATGTTTCACTTACCAATGTGAAAGGTAAACCAAATCGACTAAAAATATCTCTCAACACACGAATTGTGTCCGCTGTTTATAGATGTTCAGAGCTGAAACAAAATAGTTATGATCATGGTATCGTGAGCTTTAAACGCTTCGTTATTGTAAATTTTAATCTTACACAGCTGTTGCACACTCATAAATTACATTAGCTTTTTGCATCAAATTTACTTGTCGATCTTTAAAGTCTGAATAGAAAGCCACACAACAGCAGTGTTTAACATTTTTAGGCACTCTAGTACACACCTGGTCATTTGAATACACACCTGGTCATTTGATTTGAATAACCCAATTAAGTTACTCTTGGTTTAGTCCAGTGGGAGACTTTATTATCAAACTTTACACAAATCCGAAGTAGTAATATAAATACATCCTAGGGATCTGATAAGTCTACGTGAAGAACTCTGAAAACAAACTTAAATATTTAACCCAAAAAATTAAAGTATCAGAAACTAAACAAATTTCTCCAATGGTTTCTGTTCGAGGCTTTATGTCGAAGTTCTGTCAAATCTGTCAAATTACACAAATTAATATTTCTTTTATTTAAATCACTCAAAATGGTTTTGAAAATACTGATCTGATGTCTACCAATTCTCCCTTTCATATTCTCCATACTCTCAACAGTAAAACTCAATGCTAGTTGGGGTGGGGAGTTACAATCACTTCTAAGGATATGACCGAGCATTTTCCAGCGAGACTTAGCAACCCTCTCTGTTAATGGAGTCACCCCACAACGAGCATAAAGGTCTCGGTTACTGATGATTCGAAGATAAGTGGAGTTCATTATCCGCCTCAAATGTTTGCGCTGACACACATCCACTTTCTGAAGGATTTTCTCTGGAGCGGCCCAGCTATTGCAGTTGTACAGCAGTACTGGGATAACAAGGGCCTCGTATAATTTCACTTTGGTGTCCAGTGAAATTCGGGACTTTTCCAGCCAAACTTTGTTGTACTTTTCGAAAGCAACATTAGCTAGGAGACTTTGGGTAAGGAAACTGATTTGGCCCCCAAGAGGGGTCAGATCACGTCACCAATCAGTGACGTATAATTAGTGATGTGATCCATGGATTGAATATAATTGACCTAGAAATGGGCTAGATCTGGGGTAGAGTTCATATGACAGCTCTGTACATAGAAGCTATAAACTAAGAAGAGAACATGATCTCTCTGCTCGATTCACAGATCACATAGGGACGGGAACCTTGCTAAAGGAGGGTTTACGTATCAAGGGATGTGAGACGTACGTGCCAAAGGCATGCAAGGGGAGTTCCGATCAGGTCTTAATATGTCGCTAGATCTTAGGTATAATAAATATTGGATGATAGAAGGTAGTAGTATCGCAAAACCCGAGTGAATTGCCCAAAGCCCTCTGTTCAAGAATATGTTCATGCTACAAAGGAACAACAAGTTATAACAGACTATCATCTGGATCGTCTGACTGTTGGAAATACTCCTTTCAAGAAGAGGATTTCCAACGGTTACTATTTCTCAGGTGGTTCTTGCATAGGCTAATTGATTGGTTCCCCAATGTCAGCTTCTCTCATTTCCAACGATGCTTCAAGCTTGTATGTTAATTACTTGATGACGTATGTTTGTTTGTTTGTTTGTTTGTTTATAGAACCCGTCCCTAATCTCGTATCAGAAAATGACTGAACTCAGGTCTGAGTGTGAATACGGGCAGGGACAAAAGGATTTCGCGATTATTTTGGCCAAAAATCGCGATATCGCGAATTTTAACAGACTATACATTAAACTATACATAAAATTTGTCGCAAATAATGGAAAAAATCGCGATTTCCTTTTGTCCCTGAATACGGGTGGTACCTGCAAGTGTGTTCATTAAGCATTTAGAGTTCTGTAAAACTGCAGTTACAATTGTGCTAGAGTATTTTTAGTATATGCGGTCGATATCAGGTCTAAATCCCTACATGCTTCCAAATTTTTTAATCTCCAGCTTTCTGCACAATGCACTGGAATGTATTGAAAAATAAATAAAATAAAATAAAGGGATATATAAATAAAATCAACGATTTAATGTTAGGAAGGTAAAATTAATTCCCTGGTTTCTTAAGTCAGCTTTATAGTCAGAAAATAAAAGTATGTAGCGTCGATACCAAAACGATTATTGAGCGATGATAGCTAAATAGTTGGTTCCTGGGATGACGTATATGGTGGTCATATCACTCCTTACCCAAAGTCTGGCAGCCGTTTAGTCCTGATGAACCCATTGTGATCGGTGTGCACAGGATTTGTAGTTGGTCGGTGGCAAAACATATTTTTTGTGCCGCCCCCTGCTGAATTTTTTGGCTGCCCATCTAAAAATTTGCTAATTAAGTCAGTAAGTAAGCCAGTAAAAATTATGACATCACATCATCAGTTCATCACACATGTCTACAAAGTATCATCACATTATATGAAAAAATATATAAATATTTCTTCAACATTAATAATTTATCGAATACAATTCAATGAAATATCATGCACGTGATACCCTCCAATGCTTCACTGGAATGAAAGTTGATCACTGAAGCTATTTTAAGACTGCAATATCCCAAGGTTATGTAGAACTGTTTTAGCGAGATACAAAAAAGTCTGCAACAATGCAAATGTCTACTGTCGATGAGCATGAAACAGGTATGAAGTAAACACTAAACAGTCAATTAGCCCTTGCATAATGCAAATTGCATAGGACAGTTCCCTTCTTTCAATTTAGATTTGTTTCTTAATGTATGTATACTAATGACAATTTATATTTATGTAAATGTATATATACAGTATGTAGGCGGTTGTTTTTAAAATAAAAGTTATAGTCAGTCAAGTTCATGTTTCACATATTTTGTGTGCTCTAAATATTGATTGTATACTCATTTCGCTGGCTTTTCAGGGCAGTATGAACAAAGTAAGGAAGTGGATCGGGTTGATGTTGTAGAACAGGACCGAGTACCCCAGAGCTCTCACCAACAGGCTCATGGTTCCTTCGTTCAGCTACCTGGCGAGAACCTCACCCTTCGTAAGTTCATTATGTTTGTTAGCTTTTACAATTTACACAACTAACTTTATAAACATTCTATTCTTCAGTTCAAATGATTAATCTCTGTGATCAGATTGAACTAAAAGCGTTACTTAATATCAAATGATACAAGAGAAACCAAATTATTTTGTATGGATATTTAACAAATTAAATGATAAAAGTGTACTGTGGGAGTCTTCACATAATATAGGACTTAACATACAAGAGGGTAGGAGCTCTATTAAGATAAAATAAGTTTGTTTTCTTTGAAATTATACTTAAAGTTAAGCTACTTTGTCATGCAATGCAATATATTATACAAATGTATACCAAACAGCATTAGGTTTAACAGGTTAGATCAGGTCGGGGAAATTTTTAATCTAGCTAATTTTGGCATTCCATATTCAGCACAAGCGTAGTTATTAAAAAGATACTTATTGTTAGTGATGTTGAGAAAAATGTTTAAGAAATAAATGTAACGTATCAATTATAGTTCGTATAAATGTAGTTTAAAAGCTTTAACAACTTTATAATTTTACCAGAGATGACAGATCTGGTAAGATTTAAAGATTTAGCGTGCCCACAGAATATTAACATTTATTAAGGAGGTTTGCTAGATCTGGAAAATTCCGTTCCTCTGCTGAAAAATTCTATTACTTACCATACTTACCACTTTAATCTAAATTCAATATTTGTTTTATTTGAAGATTCAATCAATCATTATATTATATAATATGAGAATTAAACCTTCAATTTCAGCCATGCAAAATTACACTGTCATAAAAAACTAGTGGACAAAATGGTATTGCAATATATGTAAGTTGCATACTGTGTGGCTGGATGATAAAGTTCTTAACTAAACTATAAAAATAAACTTGATTATATAATAATTAATTCGGCTGATCCAACTCGGCAACTCATAGCAGGAGCTACATTTACGTTGGGGCCGCAATATAAATATTAGTATCATAATCTGCTCTATATATATAATCTGCCCTGGCCTGGTGGGACAAACACTGAAGTGTAAAGTTGTTACTTCAAAGTTCATGTAATATTAACTGTTAAAATAAACTATATAGTTTTATTTTGTCCTATAGAATAATCACGTTCAGCACACCGAGCCACTGCTACCAGTGAGAGGAATATCTTTTTTGTCTGACTCAGTGTCCGGACTGTGTTGAGGTAGTCTTCTGTAATTACTTCTGCAGTGCCTAACTCCGCAAACAATCGCAACAACCAGCAAGAGGAACACGACTACAGCTCCCACGCACATCCCAATAAACACCATCTTGTTAATCTCCAGCTCCATCGGTATTATATCACTCCCGTGGTCAGGTTCACATTTAGCAGCACATTTAGCAGTTGATTTGAGAAGAGCGCTGTACTTGTGTGTGATAACAATGCCGGTCACGTGGTTAACCAACTTGTTGTTAATGTAGAGGAACATTAAACACGTGTCCCAGTCGTAGAGTGGTCCTCCTCTGTTCACAATCCTACAGTTCAGTACTTTGTCATGGAATGTGAGGTTAACTGCGTTGTGGTACTGATTGTTGATATCAGATATGTAGGTCTGTGTAAGGAGAGTGTCGATGAACAGAACACTGAGCAACAGCAAACTGAAACGAAACATGATGAGGTTATTTTGTGGAATGGACCCTTGCCACTACATGTTCTCTGAAGCAGTGAACAAATTAGGGTATCGTGTTACAATGATCTAATATTTCGGACTGACTGCTACCTTTTAAAGGTGCCACCTGGTGAAGTGGTACTGTGTAGGATTATGTAGCCAATATATACCCACTTCCATTGTTGTCTGCTACATTACTGGAGGTTCAAGCAATTTTTAATTTAAAAACTGTTGCAGACCACAAACAAAGATAAGGAGACTACAAATTAAACTTTACCGCCTGTTTGGCGAGTGTGATATTTAAAAACGGGTCACAGAGGTCTCTAATCTCATTAAGTGGTTCACCATGCTGCACATTTGAATATAACGGGTACAATTCAATTTAGGAAGTGTCTAAACACTTTCTGAGGAAGTCCATGATCTGACCAATTGCGATTATAAACCTTTTTAGTCCTGCTAAGTCCTTTCACACAGTGTGAATCACACTGCACACTTATACTGAACAAGATCTTTGTTCAAAACACAAAATGTTCTGTATATTATGGTTAATGAATTTTACGAAAATGTATCGATGTAGTGTTAAGTAAAGTTGGAGCTAATTTATTTATTAGATCTTGAATTGTAATCAATGAAATCGTTTATACTTTTTAAACCCTGAAACTGATTAGCATTGAACACAGTACCGTTCAAGTACTGGGTGCTCTGAACAAGTATATTGCTTATCTGCACGTGTCTGTAGAAATTTGCTGTCTTTGTGTTTCTGAAAAAGCGCAATTAATAAAATACCAGACCAATCCTATGACTGGTGAAGCTGGAGTAGCTTTAAACCCGCGATGGGTTGGCATCTGCCTCAATAGAATATCACATTTTATTTAATAACAGTTTATTCTGATAGTCATATATCAAAAATATCAAGAAACATAAATACATTATGTTAGATCGTTCACACACAAATATAAAAGTAAAATGAGTCAATATTAAAGGGATTAAATGAATCAATTTGTCTCATTTTCATTTTTCTTTACTCAACAATGAATATTCTCTAATATTATCAAGGCGGTAGAAATCCAAATATTTTGTTAGCTTCTGAGCAAACCTAGCAATTTAACCTTGGAGTTTTGCCATTTTGTTCGAGCCACAAGATTACAACGTTTGATAATGAGTTTAATTCTCATGATTGAAGTATTTAGTTTATACCGTATTAAAATTGACACTGCTTAAGCAAGATACACTGTTAAGGCAATATAATAAATCATACTTTTGGCATAAACTTTAAAAATTTTTTATAGAAATGAAAATGTTAGAATAAACAAGAGTATTATACCCAACATTGACCGGCGAACTGATAGCTACTTCAGGAGCAATGAAACTACAATCTTCTAGATAAAATGAGTCATAGTACTTTCAGCCGGAGCCATCATAAGTGACATAAATCTAAAAGATAGTATGGTTAGTTTCTAAATATAAACTCAAACTCTGAAAAGGAAACTGCCGTGAAATATGAAACATCAACAAAAGGACCAATTATTTAAAAAAATAATTTATGGAAAGCCCCTCAGACAAAATAAAAATCAATTATGCAATAAAGGAATCTTAAAAGGGTTTGTACTATTCATTCCTGAGGGGCGGAGGGAATTTAAGGCATGTATATATATCGGTGCTCCTTAACATCTAAACTACTAGGACTTGAATTTTCTAGGATACACACTGAAACACTATTGTTAAAATTTTTCTTCTGAGTCAGTCCATGCTCTATATGGAGGTGGAGTCCTACGCAGTTTGAGTCATCATCCGTGTCAACCTTTTGCCCACTGATGATCTTGTAGAATGCTCTTCTGTGTTCGCCAAACCTTACCCGTAGCATTCTGGTGGATTTGCCTACGTATGGTTTCTCACACAGTTTACATCTGATCAAATATATGATCTTGTAAGTGATGCATGTACCTGGTGCTGGTTTTACCCGTTTCCCATTGATGCTGATTTGTGTAGCACTATCAATAGACTCACACGTTGCACAGTTCTTCTTTCTACACGGCCTTGTTTGACCATGCTTATTCCCCAGAGCTATTTCTTTCACCTTAACCAACCGGCTTTTGAGGTTGCTTCCTGTTTTCTTGACAAATTGGAAGAACTTTTTGCCATTCTTCTTTTCTTCAAGGGTGTTACTCTGTTGTTTTGAGTCACTCAGGTTACAAAAACTTCTGGTCTTCTTTAAGTTCTCCTCATACTTTTTCACTGTGGTGACAATGTCAGATTCACTTCCATAGGTTGAGACAACCCTTATTGGTAGGATATCTGGCTTCAGTGTGTTGTCCTTGGGAGGTCTTCGTTCAAGGTTTCTTTCTGAGTTGAGAACTTTTTTGCTAATGTTGTTCACCATTTTTGAGGGATAAGCAGCTGCCTTGAATGCTTGGCTTAATTCACTCAATCTGGTTTCCAGTCGTTCTTGTGAGTTGATTATTCTCCTGAGTCTGATACACTGGCTGTAAACTATTCCACTATAAATGTGGTTTGGATGTGCACTGCTAAAATGTAGAAAGCTCCTTGAATCTGTTTCCTTGATATGGAGGGCAGTTTGTAAGTTTCCCTCAGGGTCGAAACAAAACTCGATATCTAGAAAAGCCACAGGCGTGCCAACTTCCTTCCATTGGGATTCGTCAATGAGTAGCCCATATTCTTTCAAGGATTTGTTTACATCGGAAATCCACTGGTCAAATTTCCTTTCAGTGCTGTAGAAGAAACCTGCACCATCGTCAATGTACCGTCTTACAGTCCTGACTCTCTTCATCATGTCAGTGTTACTGTAAACGCATTTGTTCATTACATAAAATACAGTTATGTTGGCCAACTGCACACACAGACTTCCACCTGTAGGCACTCCGTTCTTTTGGACGTACCACTTGTCTTCGAAGCATCCAATAGAGGATCTTAGACTGATATCAACGAGGTCGACCAGCCAATCACAGAGTGCTGGTGTCCAGTCTGGTCTGGTGGTATTCATTGCATGATGAACGGCTTCCTTGACAAGTTCAGGGTTTAATGAGTCGTAGAGAGCTTTGAAGTCGAAAGTGAAAGCTCGGAGGGCTCGTTTGTCTGTTTCAACTTCATTGCATACTTCAAGCCATCTCAGTGCGTCCGTTGAGTCAGTCAGTAAGTCTTCGCAATAGTCCTTTTCAAGATTTTTGAAGTACTCACTGGCCAAGAAGACATCACTCCTTTTTGCTATTCCTTCCTGTAGTGCAGTGACTAGTCTCACAGGGGGCTCTATGCCTGGCACGAGGTCTTTTCTCTTCAATTTGTGGATCTTCAAACTCGGGTAAAAGTAGGCTTTTCCTGGCTTGAAATGTGAAGAAGTGCTCTTTGCATTGGTCTTATCTTTCCCCTCTTTTGTGCTATCATTATCAGAAACACCCATGACACTTTTTGCAGTCATCGGATGGATAAAACCTTTCTCTTTACCTTCAACCCATTTGAGGAATAACTCATGGTGTAATGTTTGGGTGAGATCTTCCTTCAGTTCAGTATAGATATTCGGGTTTTGGAGCTTCTCAAGTGTCTTCTTCCTTAGTGTCTCTGGGTTGATAATGATCACTGCACCTCCTTTATCAGCTTGAACAACGGATAGTTTTCCCTCATTGTTCATGCACTCAAGCCATTTTAGGCCCTCAGTCTCTTCCTTTGACAAGTTCTTCTTTGTGTCGCCTCTTGTAGTTTTCTGAATGGTCAATCTCTGGTCAAGGTCCGCCTCCATACTCTTCACAATATCATTAACACTACTGTCATCTGATGACTGTGATGAATAGTATGATTTTTGGTAGAGTTTTGGTGGTATTTGGGGCAGGTTCGGGGTTTCAAACTGGTCATTGCTGTTAAGTGACTGATTTGAAGACTGAAGGATCCTGTTCGTTGTTAAACGCATGTCCAATCTTGTTCCTTCAACATCAAGAGAGGGTGTAGGTACAAAGCCCAACCCTTTTCCAAGTACACACACAGCCCCGGGTAGGACAGGTTCATTCACAAGGATGACAACAATTCCGTCCTTTATGAGTCTTTTGGCTTCTTTCTCAGTTCGTCTTCTGTTTATCTGCTGTCGGTTCTTAAAATTCACACGCTTCTTATTTCCCTCAATGAGTTGAAGAGTTTTTAATGTTTTTCTTGGCCACCTCTTCCACTCAGTTTCCTCTTGTTGTTTGTAGAAATCAAGTTTGTTTTGGTGTTTCTCCTTGGTTCTCTTAACCTCAGAGGGGACTAACAGGATTTTTTCGTGTGCACCAGCCTTAAAAACAGAGGTCATGTGTTTGATTTCATTCAGTTTGTTTTTGATGGCCTCTCCTAACATCAGTGTCTCTAGTACAGAAAAATGTTTAAGTTTAGATGCATCAGGGATAGTAGGGGCTCCTTTAACCCGAAGGGATGGTGGTGGGCGTTTCAATTTCACGCAGTTTCTCAAGAATTTCAGTTTCATTTTCAGCAACTGAAGTTTCTGGAAGATGTTAGAATAAAAATATGTGATAAATTAACATTAGAATAGTACGTTGAATTTTACAGACTAAAGTTGAGAAATGCTTTGTTTTGGCAACGAGTTGTCACCTATTCAAACTGTGCGATATAACAATTGTCCATTGTCATTATGAAACAATTGTTCATTATCATACTATAATTGTAGGTAGTAAACGTGCCTTCGACAAATTGTTAAAAGCACAATGGAAAGACGGAAATTCTAAACTCACATACAAATTATACGTGGATTTAGATCCTCTTTCTCCACTGTGACATAGCTTTCATTTCTAAAGCACGCTTACAGTGGCACACAGGTCACAATCCGAATATAACGTAGTTGGAACGCGCATAGACATCACTGTGTTCTGCATTACGCCAAATAACGCGCGTATGGACGTACGTGCGCGGTCTCTCGATCGAAGGCAAATCTAACACACTAGATAAAATTAGGGTTAGCTTTACAATCAGTGGATAATTCAAATATCCGATTTGCGTTGATTGAAGAAATGTGTTAACAGGTGAGAAGAGATATTTTAACATGTTAATTTCAGCCCAAGAAGTCGAGTGTGTAGATGCATGTTTTGATGGACACATCAGAGGACAGCTCCGGCTCACAAACTATCGGCTATTTTTCTCCGCTGCCGAAGGAGAACCGCATGATATCGACATTCCTATTCATTCTATGCTCAAGATAGACAAGAAGAGTCAAGCTGAAAATTCTTACAGGCAAGATAAACCCCGGTTATTAACCTGGGTATATATCAAAATCAGTTTAAATATGCCACTGATTTCGATTGTACATACACTGATTTATAGATACAACTTTACTACTTTATCCGGACGTCGTGTTCCTCTGATACGTTAATTGTCGTGTTACCGATGCGATTTCCCTTTGTAGGTTGACAATTCAGTGCAAGCAGTTTCTGTCTGTCCAGTTTACAGTTAACAAACAGGTTAGTTACATTTCCTGGAACTTGTAAGTTTTCAGCACTTTGATTGCTACGCACTAATTACTGCACCAACTTATACACTCGGACATGTCCAACTTCTCCGGGTCACTGTGTTGCAATGTGTTCAAACCTGTACAGTGTACAAACCACTCAGATTGAACTTCAATACAAGAGTAGCTTAAATCTTACTGATGATATTTGGAGCTAATGATTACATATTAGTAAAATTCTGTCTGACAGGAACGTAAAAGCAAAGATCTGTACCAGTGTCTGGTAAAAAACGCCTTCCCCGGTGACGAGGGAAAAGTGTTTGCGTACGAGTACCGTGCCAGGAAGATTAAAGAGAATGGGTGGGAAGTGTACGACTTTGTGCGAGAGTACACCCGCATGGGCGCTCTACGCGACAACAGGTGGGTTTAAGTTTTAATATTCAAGCCTTGGTGATGGTCAGTTTTTGGTTGCTAAGATATCTCTTCTTGTTCCGAATCCCACCATGTGTGATCATATTTGCAGTTGTAGATTAACTATGAACAAAGCTATGGTTGAGCCTTTGCGAAACAACGCAAGATCAACTCAAACTAAAAGATAAAATAGACTGTCTAGTGTCTACTAACACTGCCTCCCCCAGTAAGTGGCGACACAGCACATTGAACAAGGACTTCCAACACATTGACACCTATCCGGAGGATCTGATAGTTCCCACGTCTGTGGCTGACGAGACAATCAGGAAGAGCAGCTACTTCAGATCTATTGGTAATTCTTTAAATAGCTAATTTTAGATGAGATATATGAATATCGCTTCCGTACCACAAGAACAGAACCTAACCATGTTACCATTTGTATAGAATGTCTACAGTAAGGAAGCAAACCCCAAATGAGTTCCTGAAGCAGCTTATCGGACGCCCAGTCGTTGTGAAACTCAGTTCTGGTGTAGATTACAGAGGAATATTCGCTAATCTTGACGGGTTAGTTTAATGCATACTTCTTTATTAGTTTCTACCTTTTTTATGAAAAATTCTCCTGCATTCTTAACCTAAATACTTGGCCTGAAAATATGCTCAAACATTTTTGTTAACCAAATGTGTACCCCTTGTCAGGTACATGAACGTGATACTGGAGCAAACAGAGGAGTACATGAACGGAGAGCTGAAGAACAAGTACGGGGACACATTCATCAGGGGCAACAACGTACTCTACATCAGTGCTCAGAAGAGAAGACTGTAATTCTATAAGTATTGCAGTGCTTAGAGAAGATTAGTCGTAAAGTACTGCTCAGAGAATGTATTTTTAATTTGCATATTTACATGGCGTAAATTACCTGAGTTTAAATCTAACATTATTGACATGGTACTTTTTATCATCAGAGACTCCTTACAGCATCTTGAAGCGCTCTTTTATTCAGTCAATACAACCCGTTACGTGACTGTTCAGTCTGCTGAGACTGGACAGTACGTTTTGTGCAATGTTAAATTATCTTTAAATTTATTATTTGATTTAATACACATTTTTTATCTTTTATGGCGTTCAGTCAAAGTTTAACCTGATTTTTATTGATCTCAAAAATGCTTTTATCATTAAACATTTACTGGCACATTGTGGCCAGTCCCCAATACAAAACCAAAGAAATAATAATTTTACGTCAACAGTGTGATCTGAGATTAATAATTTGATATTTAGAAGAGCTATAAAACTTGATGATTATCAATATTTATGTTCATTATAATATGTTGAAATACTTTATATTCTTCCAAGTAACCTGTTAAGTTATTGACCACGTGTAAGGTATTTAACCACGTGTAAGGTATTTCACCACGTGTCCTCCCCAGGTCGGGTACCTGTGTTGTCCTGGTTACATCCTACTAACGAAGCTAGCATTACTCGCTGTTCTCAACCTTGTGTCGGACTTTCTAAGAAAAGGTTTAACACAACTACAATAACTTTTTTTTCGGTAAAATTGTAAGATTCACTATATAACTAATCATTAGGCAACATCTTCATCATTTTATTTTATTATTTATTTATTCGTTATTTTAAAAATGTTTCTCCACAAACAGATGTGAGGAGGACGAGGCTATGATAGCGGAGATAAGAAAAGCGACCACAAAATCAACTCACATCTACATCTGTGATTGTAGACCCAGTGTCAACGCACACGCCAACAAGGTACTAAATCATACTTACAGCGTGTTTCTTGTTATCTTCCTGAGATCTTATAAATAAGCAAATTGATCGTTCCAGATAATCCCTAATTAATTAAAAACATCAAATAACACTAAGTCAAGTATTCAACCAGTATGTCTCTGTCAGGCGAAAGGTAAAGGGTTTGAATTGCCGGAGTTCTACGAGAATATTGAGTTTAGTTTCGGGAACATAGAGAACATACACGAGGTCCGAGCCAGCAACAACAGGTACTGATGGGGGGCGGGGGCTGAGGAGTGAGGGGTTTATCACAGCGTGTACATGAGATTACAGTCTCGTGCTCTGATCCACACTGTTTCTGACATTATTCACCTCTGGAAACTTTGTCTTTAAAATAGTATCAAGTTTTGCTTATATTTACTTGTACCGCGTGGAGTACTGTTAGTATTTAGTACCACCCACGTGACATCTCCTCACGTCACATATGTTGTGTCACCCCAGGTTGAGGGATCTGGTAACATCTCCTAATATAGAAGAGTCGAAATGGCTGAGCAACTTGGAGGGGACAAAGTGGTTACAACACATTCAAGCAATACTACAAGAGGCTGTGAAGGTATTGTTATACTTTTCCCTCACTCTCATTTTACCGGAAGCTAGGAAATTGAAACCTTGTCTTTAGACTTTGAATTTAAATTCAGTTTCTGACTAAACTTCTCCTTCAAAATTTCAACTGTAGCTGCAGTCTATTAGACCTGATTATCAAGTTTATTATCACAACACGTGAAATGACGTCATGATAACCTGTTCAGGTAGCGAGTATTATAGAGAACAAGAAGTCCTCAGTAGTGGTGCACTGTAGCGACGGCTGGGATAGGACCTCTCAAATAACCTCTCTTGCTATGTTACTGCTGGACCCTTATTATAGAACTCTGCAGGGTTTCGAGGTCAGTTCCACATGTTAGGGATAACTGCGCGCTATTGTTCTGGTACTTGAAATCTAGTGAAGTGTTGGCTCATTGATTAAACCAAATCTTTAGCTTCGTATCTGATAAACAGGTCACATCTAACCTGTTAAAATCTTATTGCATCTAATATCATCCATGCTTGATGAAATAATAACATGTTACACCCAATAAACTTTCTCAACTCGCCAAATAGCTCAAAAAACCTCACCAACTACAGGTACTGATAGAAAAGGAGTGGTTGTCATTTGGTCATCAGTTCCAGGCGCGCCACTGTCACGGAACTCAGGATATCACCAGTAAGATCAGTCATTTTTATGATACAACTTAGACGATACTTTATTTAAGTTAAAAACTGTTCTCAACTTTTCAAGGGGGGTTCACCCTGATTTTTTTGTAAAACTTGGTTTCGAGATAGCAGTTGACCAACAAACTAGGACCAGTGACCGAACTTTTGAGGGGGTCCCGGACCCCAACCGCCAAACGGTGCTCGCGGGGCAGCCACGCCCATATTTGGTCCAAATTAGGCCCAATTTAGCCAAATACCCTGAACATGCCCAAAATCCAGATTTTAGGTGCTTTACTTGTAGCTAGTGGTCCCTTGAACTCGTATATGAATTTTCATCAAGATTGGACAAAAAATGACTGAGTTATGAGCAAAAAACCATATGACCATATTTGGGCATACGCACCAAATTTGATCGATTTTTGCCCATAAATTGGTCAAATATCAATATTTTTGAATGAAACCAACTTTATATGGAAGGTAATCCTATACTACACATTCTCTATGATTATCAGCTCAGTATCTACCTAACTGTGGATGCTGTGTTCAAATAATCGCAAAAAATGAACAAAATTGCCCATATCTCAGTTTGCGATATTTGCAAAAGTGATTTCGCTCAAAACAATAGAACTCAATAGGGTTTCAATATTTTTGCATGAAATTTTCAGAATCAACGTAGAATCGCATTTCGACCTTAAGTTTTGGGACAGAATTTTGAGTTAGGCCTTGAAAAAAAATTTGGCGGCCAAATTCCAAAATTCGCAATGCGAAATTCAGAGTTCAGGGGACCACTAGCTACAAGTAAAGCACCTGAAATCTGGATTTTGGGCATGTTCAGAGTATTTGGCTAAATTGGGCCTAATTTGGACCAAATATGGGCGTGGCTGCCCCGCGAACACTGTTTGGCGGTTGGGGTCCGGGACCCCCTCAAAAGTTCGGTCACTGGTCCTAGTTTGTTGGTCAACTGCTATCTCGAAACCAAGTTTCACAAAAAAATCAGGGTGAATCCCCCCCCCCCCCCCCCCCCCCCCCCCCCCCTTAAGAAACCCCAATTTCTTAACTTAGACCCTCTCAGCGGACTACTCGCCCATCTTCATGCAGTTCCTGGATTGTGTGTGGCAGATCACACAGCACTACCCCTACAGCTTTCAGTTCAACAAGTACCTTCTCACTTTCATCGCTCAACACCTTTACTCTTGTCTTTACGGTACTTTTCTATACGATAGTGAGAGACTCAGGCGGGAAAATGAGGTGGGTTATCAAGTAAAACTACTTTTATCTTGTCAATTATAGCGATAGTGAATTAAGAAGTTTAAATACAATTTTTCAGATTATCATAGGTACACAACTTTCACTATAATTTAGTGGCATAAGATGACGTCATCATATTTTATAAAAGTCCCAATCCCAGGTGAAGACAAAAACACAATCCCTGTGGTCGTATGTAAACAGTTTTAGTACGGAGTTCCTGAACCCCCTGTATAAGGAAAGGAAGGTGTGTATTCTTCCCATGATCAGCATGCGGACTATCAGACTGTGGAGAGAGAACTGGATGGCATACCACCCCTTCTACAGGTATTCCAGCTCCGTCTTATCGCACTAGATTACATGAAGTGGTTCGGTGAACGTGAACCAGGTTTTAGCTAATTATAAGTCAGTAATTAGAATTAAAAGTGAGTTTGGTGAGTTACTCAGTTACGTGCTGGTTCAACCCAAGCTGACAGATACTCTATTCCAGGTTCCAGGATCCTCTGTTTGAAAGACTGATGGAGCTGGTTCACTTGAGAGAGAAAATCCAAAGTAACTGCGACGAACTGAGAGCTAGACATCAAACCACTGTCAAGATAGCTGTCTCGTCTTAATCCCTCTCTTCAGGGAATTACAACCTGGAACCTTAAATTTGACGTTAACGGTGTGGCGTTATAGGGTTGTTAAAATTTCGTACGATTTAGTTTAAAGATTGAAATATTATTTGATAAAACTCGATTAAGAATGTTAATGTGTTCATTGTAATACCTTGTTGTTAATGCGAGATGACCTGTTTTGTAAATTTGTAGACTGATAATGATAACTTCTGTTAATAATGTTATGTTCAACTTTTAGTGCTCTGATTTAAAAATAAGTATTTACAATTTATCAATATCTAAACATTCAATGTTGGTAGGTCATCATGGTTATTAGTTACTGTTTTAAGTTTTTGAAAACTGGTTAAAAACGAATTAAGAATATTTAGAAATCGTTACGAAACAATTTAAACTCTTGTTTATTAACAGCTTATTTTAGGAATATGTACGATACCATTAACAATATGATGTATATTAATTATTCATTGTTCAAAATTTGCATTTATTCTAAATAAATCGATGCTGTTGAAAGAAAATTTCCTTCAAAAAGATAATAGAATCATTTTATTTATTTTACTTATAACACAAATGTTCACAGTTTTGTTCTTAGAGAGTACCGTTTTACTGATGACACATAGTTTACACAACATAATTGAACTTTGCACTTAATAAAATCATATTGTTTTCTTGTGTCTGTGTTATATCACCTCCAACTGTCATGATGAAACTGAGAGTCAACTTTCTCACCATGAATGTCTTGAGCTGCACTGCTGTTCAGTGTTCTTGTGTCTCTGTCTGTTATATATGAAGATAGTGCTAATAAGTTGGCAATGATAGCATGTTTGCTAGTATCAGCTGACAGCTTTATCTGTGTCGGTCAATAATTAGTAATTACAGTTGCCCAATCTTCCTGTTTCAGTGGCTGCCAGACCTTGGGCTTGGGTCAGGAGTGATATGAGTCGAGCAGTCAGATCATGAGATCATGTTTACTTCTAATGTACAGCTATGATTTACAGAATTGATATGTGAACTCTACCCCAGATCTAGCCAATTTATATGTCAATTATATTCAATCCATGGATCACATCACTAATTATACGTCACTAATTGGTGACGTGATCTGACCCCTCTGGGGGGCCGGATCAGTTTTCTGACCCAAAGTCTCCCAGTGGTTTCAGTCTGTCGATCTTAGGGTGGTGTCTAAGGTTGTTGTTGTTCAGGCGTTCGATATATGACTATTGACTGGGGAATGTCTCGCCTCCAAATGGTTTTCATCGGTCAAGCTAGTTGTCAGTTCAGCATGTTTCTCGGTACCCCGCTACACGTTGCATCTCTATTATCCCTTGTTCAGACCGGCCGTGGGAAATGCAACGTGTGTCAACACGGTATAATACCACGTGTTAAAGTTTGAAACTATGATGTCATGGACGTAAACCGTTGAGCAGATACCCAAATTCTGAGTTGTTTCATTCTACAATAGTAAAAGACTGGGTTGAGTGTGGTGTTCAGTACTGTACAGAATACATCCGAGATTAACCAACTGTAGTAAGCCATAAAGGGTGTCGAGTAAAGGGGACCGGGGTACGCACTCTTGTAGAGTAACACGTTCAGGAACCACGTGACATTGTTCAATAGGCAGGGCAAGTTGCAAGTAAGGAACAGAGCGGTAAACATTGCCATGGTTACAGCAGCTTGGCGTTTCTTCTGGTTTCTTCCGGACACGTGACTTTTCCGTAATAATTTGTAGGCGAATATTGTAAAACAGATTGCAGTTAGGATTGATGGGAAACCAACGTATATAGCCTCTATAAATTGGCTTATGTATGACATTGGCTTTGAATACAAATCATAATAGCAATAAACATCAAATTCATAATAGCCATACCATTTATCAGGGCCTCCGAAAAAATAAATCAAGATATTCCACAACATCGAGAATGCTGTGTATGTAACAAATGCGGCAATGAGGGACTTTTTATTAATTTCATAGCGTAGAAAGATCAAGGTCAATGTCCGTGCCACACTGAGTAGCATTACCAAGAACATTGACATCTTCTGAACGTAGTTAAATACTACAATCCAAGCCACACAAAAAGTGTTCTCACTGAAAATTCCAGGTCTTCTGGAGTTGTAAAGTGCTATCATGACGGGAAAATGAACAACACAAGTGCAGATGTCAATACTGCACACTATTGTATAAATGAGACTGGAGAAGTCTCGTCTGCTTGCGGAGTAGAAATAGATAAGAGAGACCAAGTTACCAGGGAGACCGACTACAGTGCACAGAGTCAGAGTAACTGCTAGAAGGGTGTCGTATATCCTGTATTCTTCTTCTGAGAGGAGGTGGTTCAGGTTAGGAATGGGTGTAGGAACTGGAGTTGATGTTGAAATATTTAATGCCGTTGCCATAATCTTCATTTTTCTGCAATTATAGGAGTTGTTAGAGTGAAATCTACTATGGGGTGACATTTTTATAACTACATATTTATGGCCTACTGAATACTGATTCAATGATAGAACATCAAACAACATTGGGTAATATCAGTTAAACAAGAGTCCAAGCTTGGTGACCACACTAGTCATAACTTCATAAGGTCTCTTGCTATTATCTATCGAAATTAGCATACAGAGCCAAGAGTGGGTCGTTGAATAAAAGAATTAAGACCCAACGTAATTGTTTTCCTGGCAAATTTGAGCCATTAAAATCAGCATAATAAAACTCAGCCTTGTTGATAACAACATGTATATTGTTTAGGGCACCAAATTCTATATTGTCTGTATGGTTATAATTCTTAAATATCAGTATAATTGATAATGACTAATTGTTATTAAAAGAAGCAGTCCATATAATATTGCTGCTTTTCTGCATTCAAAATGTATCACATTTCTCAACGTACAAGCATTATCAAATATTAACGTTACAGCGTCCAACGGAGGGGTGCTAGAAATTAAAGTCCCAATCTTTGAATCCTATAGAAAATGCGAATTCCAGAAGAAATTTTAGAATTAGAGTCCCACTAGCTTACTAAGACGTTGTTATAAATCAAAAAGTAGCATCTGTAGAAATGAGTATCTTATAGTGCTATAGGGATCTATGGTAAAGTTCACTACCTCTTGCTATAAAAAGAGCTGAGCCCATTTATACCTGACATATGTCCCACCAATAGCCGAGATCTAAAACCTGTCGGTTTCCTGGTACGAGACCACTTAAAATTCACATGGGGTAATTGCAGGATAATATTTCACGTTATAACTATAAGACATACATCAGTAGTTTTACAAAACTTTACAGAGCACAAGATTTATGGTGGGGAAGGTTATCTTCAGTGCTACCTATAACACTGTATAACACTGTATAACTCTATAATGAGTCATACCTTCTTTTATATTGCTGAAATCAGGGAAATGCCCAACTTAAAAGTCTATTTTCTGTAAACCATGTGTATCCGACCGGATAGGCAAAATAAGTTCAGAAATACGTTACAATGTAGCTGCACCTTATTTATATTCCCGTTAAAATATCAATTAACATGAAGTCAATAAATTGATTTAATACTAGTACTACCGACATTGACAAGCAATACTTACTTATCTCCTCGTCAAATAAAGGGACCCTTTAATTTTGCCACAATATCATTATACCGAGCTATCCTCTATAAATTGTATTACAAAAGTAATTTATGTAGAAAACAATAGTTTCACACGCAGCCCGCGGGCATAATCACATTCATTGATTCAGTGAAGAAAGCATGAACTAGGAGTCTGGATTATGGAATGGGAGAGCCATCTTCACGAGATTTGTTTCATTTTTTGTTCTATTTCTATACTGTTTCCTTATACTGCAGTATTGTTTGACCCATTGTTTTATGGAGAATTATGTGATTAAAGGCGGAAGCCAAAAGTTTTGCGTGTGGCTCGAATTCTTATAAAGGTGTGTAGCATTGGAGCTAGGAAACGAGACATAAGGTGAGTTGGCAATTAACTCATTGTTAAACTCAAAGCTGTGAGGTTCAGGCCGTAATGTGCTGCAGAGTGTTAACATGTCCATCTGTATCCATAGAAGCGACACAAAAGGCTGGAAGGTTATGTACTTGGAGAATGAATTTGATACGATGAAGGTAAGCGAGAACGGACAAATTGATATAAAAAAGGCCAACAATTATTTACAATGACATTTTTTAATACGAAATATGTGTGACTGAGCCATGGTAATCCAGTGTAGTCGGGACTTAAGTCGACTGAGCCAGGACTCAGAGACTCAGAGCGAGAAATTTAAGACTCGAAGCGAGAAATTTACGACTCAGAACAAGAAATTTAAGCCATCGATCCGGAGGGGTTGAGCCGATAATCCAATTTTGGAATCAGTGACCCAAAATTATGGGTCAAGTTGCAAGTGTAATGTCAATGATAATCTACTACTTATTACGAGTCAAGACTCACAGCCAGCTCGGACTCACGGATTACCTAATTACCTGTTTTATGAATGTCAAAAGTGGATTTTGGCTTTAAAAATTAATGACAATGTCTGGTCAGAATTATGTCCGTTCACGCAATGTCCGGTCAAATTACGTCCGATAAGGTATATATTCACTGGATTGCATCGACTTACTTTTAAGAATGACCCCTTAAGTCAGGAATAAACTTCATCAAAATATTGTAAATACCATTGTCGGCATTTTGCTCATTAAATAAAACTGGCCGCTGGGTCATACAGATAGTAAATTATGAACACGAGGACCGGCAAATCATGTTGTCGAAGTCGTTTGTCATTGTCATGCTGCAAATTAGTCAAAATGAATCCGATTGATCACACAGATTTTAATATCAGGTTCCTATAATTGCAGGTGCTATGATGATATTGCATGAACAGGCTTCCACGGCAGAATTTAATGCTTTTAATTTACACAGCTAATCAACGAAACTATCAATCAAACAATATGCTCACCTCCACACCAGAATCCACGTCTATTAGTAACAAAAATATGGCGATGAGTGCTCCTAGCGAATTATCAATCGCTTTCATCAGAAATATCAAGGCCAACCCTGATCTGACGGTTAATAAATATCTCGACTATCCATTGTCGGGATGCATGTTGATAGTTGACAGACGGCCTTATATCATATATCATGCAAAGGCGATTTTAATAGAAAGTGGATCTAACTTTGAATTGTAAAAGTCACACACAAAACTTAATTCACCTCTTACTAGATACCCTCGTCTCTACCTTATAAATAGCTGACTATCCCATTTACCCATTTACCCCCGTCACCTCTCAGACATCAGTCTTTGTTCCTCATTTTCTTGAACATATTCCATTATGTCAAACTATTACTCTCATTTATCTTTTACAAACGGCTGCTCGATCTCAGCTTCTAACGCTAAAATTCGCCCATCTGTCGAGTTACTCATAGTCATATAGCATGATTTGCACCTAATTGGTTTTTAAAATGAGATCTCATGCTTTGTACCTTAATTCCCAAAATCTCGCCCAAATTTTTTGCAGACCAAATAAATTGCATAAATCTTTTCCGTCTGCTAAATTTTTTGCTAACCAAACTTTTGGCATTTAGCCTGTGGCCCTGATATCTATAGAAAGATGGCTTTTTCTTCATATCCAAGTGAAATAATATTTGAAATTTTAGTTTTCTAATCTGTCATTCATGGCTTAAC